GCCTGCGCCGAGTGTTCCAGCAGGATGTGTGTGGGTAGCCCCGATGCCGTGTCCCACACACGCACACTGTTGTCCGTCACGGCCGCCACCATCCGCGAGTCGTCCAGGTTCCAGGCCACCTGCGGGGAGAGCGGGGAAGGGACAGCGGGGAAGAGGGGAAGGCGAGGGTGGAGGCGTTGGAATGGGTGCTATCCTATCAATAAGGTGGGGTTCGTGTTTAGCGGGGGAGATGTTTCTCAATGCCACGTGAGACCTCAATATTCCTGCCCTGCCAAGAAAGGAGAGGTGCGTGGAAAAAAAGGGGAGGGGAGGATGCAGCCTCGGGCGCGGAGGCCGTTCCTTAAGACTCCACCGAGTCCACAGATAGACAGATAGACAGACAGACAGGCCGTGCAGCAACCCCGCACTGGACCGCTCCACCAGTCGGTAAAGTACATCCAGGCAAGCCGCCCAACTAGCTAGACAGACAGCCAGCCGAACCCCGCCGAGTCAAACCCCGCCCAGCCACCCAACCAGTCGCCGGGTTGCCATTACCTGGTTTATGGCGGGGTGGGGTGGGGGCTTTCGTTTCAGTCGGGCCTTACGTATCTCCTCCTCGGTGGGCGGGCAGGCCAGACTCATCGCCTCGCGCCAGCTGGTCGTTAGGCCGCCGCCACCGCGCCGCCGCAGCCGCCGCCGGTCGCGATCTCGGCGCCAAATCTGAAGACGATTGTTGGGGAGGGAGGGAGGGAAATGCGTGATGCAAGATTGCAAACAGCATCGCACACACGCGCGCAGTGTGTGTGTGTGTGTTTGTGTGTGTGCCGGAGACGGCGATGTTTTGAGCAGCTTTATGTTCAGATGGGATGTGCACCAAATAGGGCAATGCGATGTAGGCTGCAGGAGAAAGGCGAAGGGCGTGTGCGTGTGCGTGCGCCCCTCCTCACGCCCGTCCCCACCTTGACGCAGCCATCCCTGGAGGCGGTCGCCACCGCTGAGCCCTCGTGACTGAATTCAATGAACACAATGTCGTTGCGGTGGCCGCTAAGCCTGGCTAGTTCCTTTCGAGCACTCCAGGGTGGGTGGGGAAGGGGAAGGGGAGGGGGAGGGGAATAGGCATGGATTTCCTGGGAGACACGAGTGATAGGAAGCATAGGGGTTCCGGTGGCGCTAGTGCGCCACGGCGGGGGTAACAAGCACATGGGTATGGGAGAGGGACGAGTCTGCAAACCATACGAAGGAGCCCATGGGGTTGTCGCCGGCACATGGTCATGTGATGGAGGCGGAGGTGGTGATGGTGGTGATGGTGGAGGTGGTGTCTTGGGAGCTGCCGCGGACACACTAGCCACTCACCGTCGGTCGCGGCCATTCACGACCCGCAAACAGCTCCGAGAGGCTGTCGGTCGTCGAGGCAGCGGGTCCGACCGCCGCTAGAAATGACGACGGCGCTGCCGCTGCCGCCACCGCTATTGGCGGCGGCGGTGGCGACGCGCTTGAATGCGACTTCCCGCCGTCGGCTACCTGCTGCGCCGCCGCCGCAGGCGGCGGCACCGGCGGCGCAGGCCCTGCCGACACCGCCGCCGCGAGGTCCCAGTGCCAGACGCATACCGTACAGTCCGTACCGCCGGCGAAGATGAAGGTGCCGTCGGGGGACCAGGAGCAGCACAGGAAGCCGACGGGCGGCCGGTTGGGGTCCATAGCCGCCGCTCCCGCAGCCGCTCCCGTAGCTGCCGCTGCCGCCCCCGCCGTCGCCTGCTGAGAAAGCACGTCGGCCCAGGAGCACCGCAGGGCCCATTGTTACATGACGGCATCCTACCTGACACACCACTAACACGTCGCTTACATGAAATACTCGACAGGACAGTAATCGCCGGCGGAGAGGTACTATAACATGGTGTACATACATACAGACGCAAATACCACGGCTACTCGTGTACCGCGCAACAGCCTGTGCCCGTTTCCCAACGATCACGCGCCATCGGCTGAATCCCCATCCAGCTCCTTAACTCCTAAACCCCCTCTGCACGAGGCCCCAACACCCAAAACCACGTGCTCTCCGCCCCGTACCTCCTCGTGCTGCTGCGTCGGCGCTGGCGATCCGAACAAGCCGCCCGCCGACCCATGGGTCGTGCCAGCTCTCACGGCGATGGCAGCAGCGCCACCGCCGCCAGCGGCGCTGCCCGGGTCAGCGCTGCCAGCACGGGAGTTCCCCGGCTGAGACGCCGGACTCACCATGCCGCCGCCGCCGCCGCCGAAACCGCCGCCGCCAGCGGGCCCCACGTCAACGGCGGAGGCGGCGGCCGGTTCCCTGGCGGCAGCACAGTCTGTGCCTGTGTGTCAGCAAACCAGCCGGGGGCGAGGGGGTGGGGTAAGGTGGATGGGTGCTTGTGATGGTGGATGACCGTCACGGCGGCTGCCTCGAACACAACTTAGGGTAACGCAACGACAATGGCCCTGGTGCTGATGTGGCGGTAGTGGGCGGTTATCGCACCCCTTGAAACCCTTACCCCACCCGACCTGCCATCAGGCCGTCCCTGGCAACAAGCCTCACTGCATGCCTCACTAACCCTTGCGCCACATGCAATAAATGGTCCACTCATTGCATTCCCCCTCACCCCTTCCGTTACTCCAGCCGTTACTTCCCTTCCTCCCCTCCCTCCCCTCCCTCCTTCCATCCGCACACGTCCAGCTCCCTCCCCAGGTTCAACCCCCACGTCCACCGCCACCGCCACCTGCTACTTAAGTGGTGGTAATCACCTCCCCCCATCTGATCCCACTCCATCCCGCAACCTCCCGTCCCAGCCTCAACCCGCAGCAGCAACCACCCACCTTCCTCCACCCCTCCTTTTTTTCCGTCCTCCCCAAGCATTTCCTCCTCCTCCTCCTCCGCTGCCGCCGCCGCCGCCGCCCTCCCTGCCATCCCAAATAAGGCGCCGGGCCGCATAACCACAGCGGTGACCCCTGGTTCTGCCGCGTTCCAAATACGACAGGTGCCGTCAGTGGAACAGGAGAGGAGGGCGTCCGTGAGGTGCGGATGAAAATCCAAGTACGACACCACGTTGGTGTGGCCTGTGAGTACGGACACGGGCCAACCCAGCGTGCCTTCCTGCGGGACGGGGGCGTGGCGGGGGGGAAGAAGACACGAGAGGTGGGAGGGGGCCGTGTGGCGGGCTGACATGACATGAGACAAATACATATATACATATATACATACATACATACATACATACATACATACATACATACATACACATACGTCCACATACTACCTACTTACACAGAACTCATGTCACATCTCACCAGCAATACCTTCTCCCTCGTCAGTTCATCGGACATACATACGCGAACACACATAATCACAAATAGACCCAAGCACACACACACACATGCACACCATCCTCGCCAGTTCTTGCCCGCGGCTCTATCCATTAATACCCCCAACACAAAGACTTACTCGCTCACGCGCACATACGCATACCCATGCACGCACACGTACCCGCAGGCTCCACACCCGGATGCTGTGCGCCACATCGCCCGAGGCCAACATGGAGTTGTCCCGGCTGACAGCGAAGTCGGTGATCTCGGCGTCATGACCCCGACAGGTCTTGAGCAGGATACCCGTCTCCGCGGACCATATCTGCGAAGGGGAAGGAGGTTAATGAACCGTGGGGTGCACGAGTACACACGGACGTTCAAGTACGTACGCACAACGCACAACGCGCAACGCACCTTGACCAAGTAGTCGTCGCTGCCCGTAATCACTCGGCGCCCTGTGTTGTCGTACGTGCAGCAGTACACTGCCAGTCGATGGCCGCGCACCGTGGTCAGGTGCCGCATCTGCCGGCACAGAAGTCCCGTGGCGGTGGGGGGAAAGGAGCAGGCCGAGGTAGAGGCAGCGGCAGTGGCGGAGCAGCCGTGTGCGCTGCCGGGCATCCCCAGTCGGGCCCGGGCCTGACCCGTCTCCCGCAGAAGCAGCTGGTGTGGAAGACTGGCCTGCTTGCAGAGGGCGGAAAACCGTAATGCCGTGGGATGCCGTGGTAGCTGGTAGGGTTTAAGCCCTAGTGCATATGATTCCCCCTGCAGACTGCTGCATGAAAACGCGGGGCGCGCTCTCTAAGTTCCTCTCTCTCTCTCTCTCTCTCTCTCTCTTGACACTTCCCTACATTCCTGCCTTCCACCCAAATGCCGTGTTTACCGCCATCTACGCCAATACCGTGTCACCTGAGAGTGCTCGCCAATAAATCCGCCGCGCCTTCAAGTCCCTTTACCCCGAGGGAAACAGGGCTTATGAGCCAAGCAGCCGTACCTGCGTGTGCGGCCGCCGCCACCATCGAGGCAAAGGGGCTTCCTGGCATCCCAGCATCCCGTGCTTCCCTGGAGCAGTCAAGCTGACTACCTGCACACACATAGCAATGGTGGTTGCGGTAAAAGGCGGTGAGGGTCGGGGACGAGGGCTGGAGAAGGCCCAGGAGGAGACGAAAGATGTAGGTGTGCGCGATGTCAGGGGCAGCAGCTGTGGAGGCGACAGGGTGAAGGCTGGCTGTCGAACGGTCGCGTTGTTCTTTAAAAAAAGTTCTTGGCCACCCCGCCACAGAACGTCCATGGCGTACGGTTAGTGGTTAGGGATGTGCTGGCGGTGGTCGTAGTGCAGCAGTTTATATGGGTGTGGAGCAGATTGGGCGAATGGCAAGGTGGTGGGCACCAGATGCTCCTCCTCAAAGCCCTCAACGGTATTTAAGCGGTATTTAAATCCCATTCAAACCAACCCAACCCAAATCATGCAAGGGCGTTGACAGCTCTTGAAGGTACGTAATATTGCCATCAACGCGTTGAGAATGCCGCGGGGAAGCGCTTCGGCTGGGCAGCGTGGCTAGAGAGTTTGGTTTCGGAGGGCAAGGGCAAGACGCTGATTGGTTAACAACGGCGTGATGCACCCAGGGACGGATTGTGAAAAGGGGAGACAAGGGGCTTGCTATGTTCTGCTTTCGGGGAACGGGGTCAGGACACTTAGACGGGGTTTGGACGAGAGCCTATCGAGCGTTCGTGAGGCACCGCGACTACAACCAGGCACCTGGAGGCCGCCGTCTGCATTGGCGTAGGCGACCTTGCTTTGTTCCAGCAGCTTTTGGAGCAGTCGCTGAAGTGCATCCGGCGGCACATGGGAATGCACCCTGCCATGTTGCGCGAAGGACACCTGGTGAACGTGCCCTGCGCAAAGGCAGTAGCGGTCGCAGCATGCGCTGAAGGAGAGCTCAACAGGTTGAAAGGCGAGGCCTGCCGGAGCGCTGCGGGCTATGGTACTTCAACAGCGCACCTGCAATGTCGACCCGGGTGGGCAACAACCCAAGACGTGTTGCCTCCTCCTCCAAAGCACGTGCTGCTGTAGCTAATGGCCCCGATGATAGCGTGCGCCATACCAGGAACAGGAGCTCGGAGTCGTCCTGGGAAAGGATGCAAGCGCGACCCTCAGAAGTCCGGCAAGTCCAATACTTCATAAACATTATGTTTAAAATGAAACTTGTCTCTGCAAAATTTTTTGTCCTTGGGCTCTAGTCCCGCCGTCGTCCCTGGTCCCGATTGCATTCCAAACCGTCAAGCACCCAACCGCAGCGCCAAGTTGACCGCGGATGCAGTGCGCTGTATAACTCGAAAGCTCTGAAGGCCATTTAGGGTCATGACCGGAAAGGTGTCCACGCTTACCATACTGGCCGGTTTTGAGGCTTCAACGACTTTCAACCTTCAACGGCGTAAGGGAAATCCATCATTAGGCCCGGCCCGAGGCCCGTCCTGGGGCTGTGTAGCATATGCCTCAAGGACTTGCTAGCTGCATGAGGCGAAAAGCGGCTGACGCTGTCTACCGGCTTGAAGTGGCCTAGGGCACGGTTGGTAGGGCGGACCGTTGGGGAACAATCGGTTTGTGGAGGATTTTGCAGACGGGCGCCGCGGGACAGTGTTCTGCCAGGACTTGCCGCAATCCCCACCTGTAACCAAAATAAAGAGTGTCCGTATGCGCGAATTTGCAACGCTTGTGAATAACGTGTAAAGCGTAGGACTGGGGATGCGGGGCGTTCAGTCTTGGACGTCATCTGTCGCTCTCCCGTATTTTCCCATGCAGGCGAGGTACATGATGTGGCGCACCCCCAAGGTTTTTCCTTTTTGGCCTTGAGCCAAGCAAGGTGCACTTGTAGCACCTGATCGTTAAGTTTTAATATAGACGTAATACAATTTGTTTTGGGACAGTTCGAGGAACAAATATCAACCTTTCGGTCCTGCTCCAACTAGGCCCATTAGACGCGACAAATGGGAAAGAAGAAATCAAACCTCCTTGACCTCCCTGATATAGATGATGAGGAAAGCACTGGCCCGGCGGCGGCAAATGCGGAAGCCAAGGCCCAACCCGCAAAGCCCAAAGCTAAAAAGCAGCAAAAGGGCAAAAAGGGCAAAACCGCCTTTGATGATGATGACGACGGAGATGTTGACCCGCTGAAGAAGGCCAGCAATGCCCTGGCTGACGATGATGAGGAGCCAGGCCTTCGAGCCAAGCCGAAAACTGGACCTGGCAAAGGAAAGCCTATAAAGACAGCTGCTTCAGCTTTTGCGCTACTGGGCGAGGCCGAGGATGAGGAGGACGAGGAAGTGCCGAAGAAAGCTTCCCCTGGCAGGAAGGCGGCCAAGAAAGGAGGATTTGCCGCCCTTGGTGAGGACGACGAGGAGGATGTGGAAGAGCCAAGCAAGCCATCTAGTAAGAAGGTAAATACGTACTGCTTTCCCGCAAGCTCTCAGTTGAATTGCGCGGGCGGCGGGTCGGGGCGGATATTGCAGCAGACATCTAAACCAATTTTCTCGCTATCCTAATGTTATGATTTAAGCTTTGCTTGGGGGTTAGCAACGATGTCTGCCACACAGGGTACGTTCGGATGTTGCAACGTATTCATCCGCAGTAGGGAAGCACTTCGGTGTAGCGTGTGCTTCAGCCAAAATGAAAAATTTTGAGCCACAACAATAGCCGCACGTGCGAGCAGAACATAAAGGTTAGGGCTGCCGATGCCTGAACTATCGAACCATGGGACTGTTTGGACTGAAATACGTCACAACTCAACATTAGGGTCGGTATGCCTGTGCCATTGCAATTCTTGGCTAAGCATGCCAAATCCCTGGTCATTGCCTACAGGCCAGCGGCGGTGCAAGCCCCAGCCTTGTCATTGCGGAGGTGCTCAGCGTACAGTCTCACCCAAAGGCCGACCGGCTAAAAGTGGTCGATGTGGACTGGGGCAAGGACATGTCGGTGGTGGTGACGAATGCCGCCAACGTAGAAGAGGGCATGAAGGTTGTCTTTGCGGTAAGCCCTGAGGTATTTCGTGGACCTCTGGACATGCGAGACGTGCTCGTGGGTGCTCGCTCAGAAAGGCTATCTCTTTCACACTTGGACATCGGTAATGTAATGTATCCAAGCAGTTGGTACAAGCTGGAGCTCAAGCCGAAGCTAGCGTTGCATGGAGCTTGGGGTGGCGCATTTTACGTCGGCGTGTAGCCCCTGTGAACAGAAGGGGCGCAAACATAACCCCCATCCTCAGCCGTCCACGGGCAGACAGGCCTACTGTTGGCGTGGGCAGGCTGGCTTACGTGGCCTCATATCAGAATCTTGAGCAGCTTGACTATAAGATTGCATTTGAACACCACGCCAAGGCGCCTCATCCTCAAGTATTCCCTGAGAAAGCAGGCCCTTCTATGAGTCAGGCTTTACGCCGCCCCTGACCGCCCTGTCTGCCCCGCAAACCCTTCGCTTGCCCTGCAGCCTGTGGGCTCGACCACACCGGGCAGCGGTCTTAAGATGGAGCGCAAGCAGCTGAAGGGAGTGGAGAGCTTTGGCATGCTGTGTTCCGCGTACGACATTGGGTGGATCCCGGAGCCGGATAACATCCTAGTGGTGTTGCCGGACAACGCAGTAGTGGGCGAGCCATGCCCCAAGGAGGCCCCCAAGGTGCGCGGCTTTGTGAAATGTGATTTGGGTCATTTTACCGTGGGGGGCTAGTGGATTGAGGGGCGCAAGGAGTAAAAAGTAAGCCAGAGCCCGAGGTACGGGAGCCGTGAGGGAGGTTTTGGGTTGGTAGGGATGCGGGTTATGACGGGAAAACTGTTGAGGACACGGGATTGGGACGGTCAGTCTAGGGTGGCGCGTGATGCCAGATGCGCAGGGCAGAAGAAGAACATGGATGCCAGGTATGGATTGGAAATGCCTTGTTCAGCATGTGGGCTCATACGGGAGGTGCCATGCGGCACGCAAGTCCGAGCCTACAATTGATGGAGAAGGGTGCTGGGCCGTAATCCTTGCGGCATTTGGGGCCGCGGCCCTGTTGGCTATGGAGGGACAGCTTGCAGATGCTTGCTGCGAGTCATGGGTTATGCATATCCTTTTACCCTAACCAAAACCTCCAGGCGCCAGATAGTCCACGGGGTACAGGTTTGCCATGGGATTCCTTGAGGCGCTTTGCGTCTACGGCGCGGATGGTTGCTCCGGATGGCACTTGGATCTGTTTCTCTTGTACAGATCCAAGCTCTAATGTTGTGTGTGCTGGGAGTCTGCAGGGCTCTGCAGGAGATTAGCAGGGGCGAACACCTAGGGACACACACGCGCGTACACACATACCCTTAGACCCAGGAGGCGAATGCCCATGTACTTATATGGAAGGATTGGAGCGACGGCCCTTGTGGTGCTCGTCTTTTCGTTTTCTTAAACCCAACTTGATGTTAGACATCGCTAGGGTGTTTGGTGTCCATCTGCCTGCATTGCCGAGGTGACCCACATGGCATCCGAGTTTCGTGCGGCTTGTCGGCCTCCATTCCAGATCATGCCAGAAGAGGTTTGCCTGTGAAGACAAATATATGTGGGCCGCCTCTGCCGGTGCATCCATGCTGCTGCTGGATTTGAGAACGCATCATCCCGCGCCAGGACGCCTGGGAGACATAAGAGACACTTGACCTCCTCCATGGCCTTTCCAGCACGGTAGGGTGTTTAGTACAAGGGTATGTTGACCCTTCTGCCGTGGTAATGCAGGGCCTCAAATCCAAGCTGCTCTCCTCAGCGGTGGATGGGGAGGAGGCTGAAGAGGAGGAAGAGGCCGCGGCGGCGGTGGCTGCCAAGCCTAAGAAGGATGCCAAAGGTGGCAAGAAGGGCAAGAAGGGCGGAAAGGACATGAGCAGCCTGTTCGCTGCTCTGGAGGAGGATGCCGCAGGTGAGGCAAGGGTTGTGTATGGGAGGGCTCGCTTCATCGTTGGAGGCTTCTGCCATGAAAGCCCGAACTCAGCTTGTAAGGAAGCGTGCGTAATGATGCCCAAATGCTGGGATTTCCGAGGGATGGCCCCATGACATGCTGAGGCTAGATGCGGCTTCAAATGCATGCGAAGACGAGCCGATACACGCTACCCTCAACCAATTTCCCTCGACTAGCCTACCTTGGGGACTGGGGCTTGTGACCCTTTACCCACTTTTGTTTTCTCTGTTTTCTCTGCTCCGATGCAAAAGAGGCAGTGGAGGAAGAGGAGGTGGAACCGGTCCCAAAGCCCAAGTCTGGCAAGGACAAAAAGGCGAAGAGAGGCGGCAAGGACATGAGCAGCCTGTTCGCGACATTGGAGGAGGATGCTGAGGGCGGTGGGTGTCAGTTTTGGGGACATGTTCAAATGTGCTGGGGATGGAGCGCCGGTTGGTGCATGGCCGTGTCGCTCGAGGCATATGCACGGGCGGACTCCGTTTACTCCTCCTCCTCCGTTTGGCTCCTCCAGCATGGGCTGTGTTGAAGTAACGCTGTATTACAGCACAAGTAAAATAGCTGTAATGTTTGTTACCTTTGATCCAAAAGATTTATAATGACACCTAGCGCCTGCAAACATGATATGAAGGCGAAACGTGTATGGGTTGACTGCCGTCCGGACGCGTCCATTTCGCTATTGCGTGCGCAGTCTTGCATGTGCGGTATGATGTATCGCTCTGCTGTTGACAGAGCAGCCCATTGGGCCCCGCATGCTCCCACGACTCAGCAGCTCAGTTTCATACCGCAGCGTCCACGCGACACTTCCACATTTGGTAGACTTAGAAAGCTCTACTTGGCGCTGAGCGGGGGCTGGATGGGTGAATCTTGACTGTCGTTTGTGTGGCAGTTCAGCGTACTGTAGCGGGGTCGTACTGTCATGGCGATGGGGGAAATGTAAACAATGTAAAGTGGTGACACAGATGCTGGCCGTGCAACCCGATCACAGGGGGCTCTAAAGCGGAGGAAGAAGAGGCGGAGGAGCCGGCTCCCAAGCCCAAGGCCAGCAAGGGCAAGAAGGGCGGAAAGGACATGAGCAGCCTCTTCGCTGCCCTGGAGGAGGATGCCGCGGGTGAGTTTAGCGTTGCGTGAAGGGGCACCACATCGGGTGGTCTGTTTTGTTTTTTCAGTTAGTGTTTTTTGAAGCCCAGGATCAGAACCCAGCTCAATTGCTTCGTAAATTATTTTGTTCTCTACAAGTATTATCTTTTGCCATCATGCAATAAACGTCTTAACGACAGCAGAGGCGGAATTGTATAATCAGATCATAAGCTCAATAAAAAAAACAGTCGTATTGAAGGTGCGCCTGTGTGTGCGGTTTCGGTGAGGGGGAAAATGGTAAATCCCTTAAGGGAGGGCGTGGGGGAAACTAGATTGTAACTGGAAATGTGACTGCTCGGGATCGAGGCATCCTTTCTCAGGTTTACGCGTTGAAGTGGTGCGTGTGGCTTCAAGTAGTTAGCGCGTCTTGGCACTTGTGGAATTCTTCCCGGATTGTCACGGACCTCCTTACAGCTTCGCATGCTATGCACAGGTGGAGCAAAAGAGCCGGAGGAAGAAGAGGAGGAGGAGCCGGCTCCCAAGCCCAAGGCCAGCAAGAGCAAGAAGGGCGGAAAGGACATGAGCAGCCTGTTCGCTGCTCTGGAGGAGGATGCCGCGGGTACGCATGTGGAAAGCATGTGGCACTTGGGCAATCAGCCAATGCCCTGCTGACTGTTTTGCGATGTCGCTAAGAGCAACGAAAAGTGGTCATGGGGCAGAAACGTCACTTGCTGTTGCTTCGGCATCGTTTTAGCTTTTTCTAGGGGATGTCGCAAGCCCCAGCATGCGAGCTTCGTTTGGGGTCGTTTGGCCTGAGCCCCGCTGGGGGTTGCCTTGTGTGACATCTCATTGGTTCGGTCGGCAATCTGCGGCCTGCGGCTTTCGGGCCGGTGCAGGTAATCTTGCATCGCCCTTGAACCCGCCTTCGAAATGAAGACACGCTCGCTTTGTCGCCTTGTCACCTGAATTGCTGTTGTGTCGTTTGGATAAAATTCCTATCTTAAATTTCCCGTGCGCAGCGTCCACGTCTACAGCGGTGGCCGAGGACGACGGCGACGCAGCAGCTCCTAAGAAGAAGGACGGCAAGAAGAGCAAAAAGACTGGCAAGGATATTGACAGCTTACTTGCCGCCCTAGAAGGAGATGCCGCGAGTAAGTGGCCTATAAATTGTGTGGGTTACAAAGTGGTTGGCTTCTAGGCCATTTGCATACATTTGAATTCTGGTCTAGGATTGAACATAATTCAGCACAAGACACCATAACCACAATGTACAACGCCATAGGAACTGAAAGTCCAAGGCGGTTGATTTTGCCTGCTGGTAACCCTCCTCATCCAGTCACGCGGACATCCGTAGAGACAGAGGGTTTAGCAATCGCCACCAATTCAGCGTGTAAATTTAGGTCCATCAACTGTGACCTCAATTCCATACCTCAGCAGCTAGTATAGTCTCACGCTTCCGACCAATGTCGGGGGTCTACCCAGGAATTAAACCCCGGACATTAAACTGCTGAACGCAGTGGATTCTCCAGACCGGACTCAGGAATTGAACGGCAGGGGAACCGAAAGCCGTGTTAAACACATCGGGTCTGGAACCAGCATGTAGGTTTTGTGGATTCAAGCTAAGAGAGGCAACGTGGACAGCGGAAAGCGGGAGCAGACGCAGCCGTATTCGGTGTCGGCTTTATGCTGAAAGCGCCATTGGTTGGCAGACTGTCTAGAGGCGGAGGGAGGGTGGTTTCTTCTTAATTGTGTCCTCTGCTTCGCATAATGCGTTGCAATCACTCTTCATCGTGCCTGCACTATGAATATATCGCTCATGCCTCTTCTCTCGCATCCCATGATGCCCTGGACGCCGGACCATGTACGCAGCATCGTCAGCGCCGGCAGCCGAGGGTCCCGCTGCAGCTGCCCAGGATGACGGGGACGCGCCCAAGCAGAAGAAGGAGAAGAAGAAAAAGAAGGACATGAGCGATCTATTTGCGGCGCTTGAAGCTGACGCGGAAGGTGTGTGCGTTGGAAGAGGTGCGGATGGTACCGAGTAAAGCAGTATGCAGTATCGCCCGAGCAGAGTTGGGTGAGCAGGGCGTGAGCCGTGCTGCGATGTAAGCATGACACTTACGATTGGTGTCGTAATGCCGCATGGACGAATTATTCACCATACTCTTTAGGTTTCTTGGCGCGGGACCCACTTGATGAATCTTCCACGCGTACTAGACCTTAGCAAAAGGATAACCCCGGGATAGCCACGAGGATGCTCTGCTTGCCGTTTGCTTGTTTGCAAACAGCACGCGCAACAGCAGCGCAGCCGCCTTGTCCGCAGCCGCTAAGCGCAGTGAACGTGATGCTTTGCCGCTCCTTGCCCGTTTCCCTCCTGTTGTTATCTAAAGACGCGCTTTTCTTCCCTGTGATTGCATGCGCACCGCAGCCTCCTCCACCCCTGCGCCTGCGGTTCCTGAGAAACCCTCACCGGCGGCTGCTGGCAAGGGTGGCAAGGCCGCAGCCAAGAACAAGGAGGAGGAGGAAGTGGAGGCGCTGCTGGCGGAGCTGGATAAGCCTAAAGAGCCCGCTGCAGGTGAGGGAGGGGGTCGGATGTGTTTAAGCAGCTGGCCGAAACTTGGCAGGCGAGTTGTATTGTAGCCAAAGGGTGCGACGCGGGTCAACTTGGACGGGGGCAGGCTGGAGTTAATTTGCATGAATTGCAGTACGGACCTAGTAGTGTGAAGGCCATGGTGCCAGCGGCTCAGTTGACGCCGCCATTACGTCCGAGCGTGTGTCAGCGATGGCCGTCCTTCCGAAGGCACACCAGGAATCTGGTTTCCTATTGTGTTTGATTGTGCTCAAGCAAGAGCTAAATTGTGCGATCTGGCATCCGACAGGCAAGAAGAACGACAAGAAAAAGAAGGGCAAGGGTGGCAAAGCTGAGAAGGAGGATGAAGACATTGATGCGCTTCTGGCTATGATTGACGGGCCCAAGCAACAGCAAGCCAAGCCAGTAGAAGTTACCGCTCCTGCACCAGCGGTCGCTGAGCCGGTGGCGGCTGATGGGGAAGGCGGCGAAGGTGAAGAGGGTGCTGACGAGGCCGGCGGCGAGGAAGGTGGCGAGGGCGGCAAGGAGCTGACGGCGGCGCAAAAAAAGAAACTAAAAAAGAAACAAAAGGAGAAGGAGAAAAAGGCCGCGGCAACAGAAGGTGAGCTGGGTGGTGATATTGACATTTGGTCGAACATTACATACTTTTCGGGTAGGGGCGATGTATAAAAGCCTATCCCTTGTCGCCGACAGGCGGCGCCCCGGCGGCCGAGGGTGCCGCTGCGCCCGCGGAGGTAGCAGCGGAGGAGGAGGCGGCGACGGGCGGCAAGGGAAAGAAGGGCAAGCCCGTCAAGGAGAGCGCCATCGCCAAGAAGCTGCGTGAGCAGCTAGAGGCGCGCAAGAAGGCGGAAGAGGAGGCGGCCAGGTGCGGGCCGGAAGGGAGGGAAACATCTAAATGTATTTTGTTACCTCACAGTAGCACCTCAACACTCTCTGTAGGATCCGTCCCCTTCGGCTTTAGCTTGTCCTGCAACGCACAAACCATTGAATTGATGGCTTGGTTATGCAACTGCACCGTCCTTACCCTCCTGTTCCACAACTCCAGGCCCCTAGCTTGCCATCTTCCGCGTTTCTATATAGATTCTTTTCGGGTTCACCTGATTCCTCTAAATCCCCAGCTTCCCCACCCTCCTCGCCCCCCTGAAGGCTGGAGGCCGAGCGGCGCGCTCGTGAGGAGGAGGAGCTACGGCGACTGGAGGAGGAGGAGCGGCGCAAGGAGGAGGAGAAGCAACGGAAGAAGGAGGCGCAGCGGGTGAGCGCGCACGCACGGCGAGGCGGTGACAGGGGTTGTTAGCGTAGATCTGTATTTTCTTTCAAACTCACTTGACGGTTCAGGGACAGGACACACGTTTCTGAGACGTTTGTCGTCGTAAAGGCAAAGTCTGAATACCCTAGACCCAGTTACCTGCCGAACCTGGGCCGTCTCGAGCTTTGCATCTCCGGCTCCCATCACGACGAGTGCCGCATGTCCCCGCAGCTCAAGCGCGAGCAGCTTAAACGTGAGGGCAAGCTGCTGACGGGCAAGGCGAAGGAGGAGGCTGAGCGGCGCGCCGCAATGGCCGCGCAGCTTCTAGCCAAGGCGGCTGAGAAAGGTGCGTGGGTTTGGTGGCAAGAGGTTTAGGTTAGACAGGGCCAGTGAGGATACCCGGATGGCAGGAAGCAGGCCTGATGGTGGCAATGCCTGGGATTTGGACGCTCTGCCGCGCCTCTAGGGGTGAGATTGCAATGTTTGTGGGTTATTACAGTCTGGGACTGACCCCCGCGACTGCTGTCCCTAATCCCTCTTCTGTCGATTTTGGATGTTCCATCCCCGACCCCAGGAATCGACCTGAGCCAGCCCGCCGAGGCAGAGAAGAAGAAAAAGGTCGTCTACAGCAGTAAGAAGAAACTTGGCAAGAAAGCTCCTGGGCAGGAAGGCGACCGTGAGGGCTCACCCGAGGCGCCGGCAGAGGCGGAGGCAGCAGCGTCGCCAAAGGAGGCGGCAGCCGCGGCAGCGCCAGCCGAGGCCGCGGTGTTGGCGGAGGCCACCGTGGCGGCCGTGGCGGAAGAGCCGGCGGCCGCAGCGGGTCCTGCAGCGGCGGCCGCGCCGGAGCCGGAGCCGGAGGCGCTGGTGGATGATTGGGATGCGGTGAGTCCGAGTGAGATGGGATAGGGCAAACAGCAGTCGCAGCTTGTCCTGGTGTGGCTTTGTCCAGACCTTAACTACCGAGCTTGTAGACGTTGGCTGTCATGGTCTTGGCCCTTCTTCACTTGTCCCTTGGAATGGGTCCTTCACATGCACCACAATGGAGGAGATCACCTCTAGGATTACCCTTTGGGGCTCGCCCTGGCGCAGGTTGATGACTGGGACAAGATTGATCCGGACGCTCTGTTGGCTTCCAAGAAGACCAAGGAGCAGGAAGAGGCGGAGGCGCGCGCGGCCGCAGAGGCGGAGGCGAAGGCCAAAGCCGAGGCGAAGGCGAAGGCGGAAGCTGAGGCAAAAGCCAAGGCAGAAGCCGAAGCTAAGGCAAAAGCGGAGGCGGAGGCGGCGAAGGCCGCGGCTGCCGCCAAGGCGACCGCCAACGGCAAAGCAGCGGTCAAGCCGGTGAAGGAGGCACCGAAAGCTGCGGCGAAGCCGAAGGACGTGGACGAGGACGAGAGGTGAGCAATAGGGATGGATATGGTGCAGTCTACACATCCGTATCGAGGGGGATGGGAAGAATACTGCAGACGCTGTTAGAGCCTAGAGCTGCAAGCCCTGTAAGAAGGTAGGGGCGCAGGAGGGGCCTGGTGTGGTTGAGTCCCGAAATTCCAGCTCCTTAGTTTTAAGGATGCCGGTGGAAATGTCCTTATGCAGTTGCAGCCGAATTAGTGACATCCTCATGCTGCTGTCGCTGCCGCTGCTGATCTCGTGGCTGACCCTGCTTTTGTTATTGCACAGCGCCTCCGAAGAGGAGTCCGAGGAGGACGAGGAGTCCGGGTCTGAGTCGGGCAGCGAGGAATCAGGAAGCGAGGAGGAGAGCAGTGAGGAGGAAAGCAGCGAAGAGGAGAGCAGCGATGAGAGTGATGATGACGATGAGGATGACAGTGACGACTACAGCGAAGACAGCGAGGAGGCGCGACAGCAACGCATTGATGAAGCGCGGGTGCGTGCATATGAGTGCGCTGTTCACTGTTTGTGCGCACATGTAAACACGGGGAAATTACTGTTGGCGGATTGTTGCGTTTCGATGTCCTTGCATGTATGAAATTCGCGTCCTACGCATCGCTTGCAACTTCTTTCCGCCAGAATGTACCCTCTCAGCCGCAAGGGCGTGGTGGTGTTTTCCTCTCTTCTTCTCCCTGGAACACTCTCCACTTTCCTCCCTCTCGACTTGCGTTTTTTCCGCCTCTGATTAACTGCTACTTGTGTCCTCTGTATGGTCCTGGTCCTGTCACCTTTCCTTTTCGCTTGACTTACAACCACAGCCGCTGCACCTTTCATCCTTTCTCATGCATCTGGCACTCATTTCATCATTAATCGGTCGTGCGGTGTTGCGGCTTTTCACTAACATGCGATTTTCTTAATGCACCTAACAGGAACGCCGACTGGCGCGTGCCGCTGAGGCCCGTAAGAACGCCAACAAGGAGCAGCTGCGCTCGCCCATTTGCTGCATCTTGGGTCACGTCGACGTGGGCAAGACTAAGATCCTAGATAACATTCGCCGGACAAATGTGCAGGTGCGTTGCAACACCCGTGCCAGCTCACCTCGACACAACACGCAGATCTTGCATGTATCGTCACTTGGCTCTTCTCCACCCTCCTCCTTATCCTCCCCTCCGTCCCTCGCCCTCGCTGACACTTGCTGGCCGTACTGCCCAGGTTTTCCCCTGCGGTTTCTGCTGCTGCTTTCTGTCGCCACATGTGACTCGAGCGGCTCCTTTGTTTTAACCTTTTCATTGCCCCATTCATCGTGGGCCGCAGGATGGCGAAGCAGGCGGTATCACGCAGCAGATTGGTGCCACGTTCGTGCCTGCTGAGGCTGTGGAGCGCCGCACGGAGACACTGCGGGGTGGTCGTGCCTTCGACATGAAGCTGCCTGGTCTGCTGGTCATTGACACGCCCGGTCACGAGTCCTTCACCAACCTGCGGCAGCGCGGCAGGTGCGTGATGGGGTGGTGAGGGTGATGAGGTAGAATAGGGCTTGGGGTTGCGACCGGTTGGTGTGCCACCTTGGAAGAGTTTGCAGTGCAAGATGTCTCCTTGACCGAAAGCCCTTCCATCTGGCTTATCCGCCTAACGAATTGCATTATTACTTTGGTTAACCTCCCAAGGCGGTGGCCCCCTGCCCCTGTTTCGCAGTGGCCTTTGTGACATGGCTGTGCTCATCGTGGATCTGGTGCATGGCCTGGAGCAGCAGACCATCGAGTCCATCAACCTGCTCAAGATGCGCAAGACGCCCTTCGTCATTGCGCTAAACAAGGCAAGCAGATGCAGGCACAACTGCAGAAGCAACCGGGATGTACAGTGAAGCGAAGCGTGATTACCCCGGCGCGTGCAGCGCACTTGTGCCGCGGAATGATCGTGCGTGCGTCCTATCTCCTCTTTGCGGTGTGGTGTGGTCCCTGTATCGAGGAACCTACTACCCATCAATGCATCCACCTCTGCATCCTGCGGAGAAGCTTCCACAGGCGCTGGTTAGTTTGCATTGCTTGTAATGTTACATCGTCCTGCATGAGATTGCCACGGCCCTATAGCATTGCCCTCCACCTGGGTTCGTGTTGGGAAAATCTACCGGGGGCCTACCAAAACTTCTTTTTTTGTTGCAGCACAGTAATTCTCACGGAATGAGTTCCTCCTCCCGCCTTGACGACCGTCATTTATTTCCATACTCGCTTCGACGACGTTTCCCTCTGCAGGTGGACCGTTTGTACGGCTGGAAGAGCGTGCCTGACTCGCCCATCCGTGACTCGTTCAAGCGCCAGAAGGAGTTTGTGATGTCCGAGTTTGAGCAGCGCTGCAGCCAGGTCTTCTTACAGGTACGTACGCCTATGTCTGTGTAAGTGTGTATTCCTTGGGAACTTACGATTGCCATGCACATACGAGCGAGCGTGGGGCAGATCAAGGTGCATTTGTTGGGCGGGTCGCCCACGTCCTATTTCCGTTCCTGCATTAGGGTTGCGTGCCCTTTGAAGTCCCAGCGGTTGCGTAATTCAAAGTGATGATAGGGCAGGATGTCGCGCAGCTAGAGTGGCCGTAAAACTACTACGGGCGCGTTCGGTTGGTTTTCCGGACATTACAATCAAAGTTCCGCCATTTCCATCTTTTTGCTCTGCTGCCCATGCCCTCCCATGCCGCCCGCAGCTCAACGAGCAAGGATTGAACGTGTCGCTGTACTGGAAGAACTCCGACCCGCGCAAGTTCGTCAACGTGGTCCCTACCAGTGCCATCACCGGCGAGGGGATCCCCGACCTGCTGCAGCTGATTGTCAAGCTGACGCAAACCATGATGACGGACCGCCTCATGTTCGTTGCGGATACACAGTGCACGGGTGAGATTGGCTGTTCGAGAGTTGCTGGGTCCCGGCGAATAGTATAGCACAAGATGGGTGGATGGGTAGGGTTGGGCGCGATGTTCTTCACAGTGCTTAGGACATCCTTTCCTGCATGGTCTAAAAAGGTGCATGCCACCCGTACATGCAGCTTGCATATGGCTGTGGATCTCGCGTACTTTTGCAGGATCCAAACAGTGGATTCAAACAGTGTCTCTTCTGTTCTCTGTTCTTTAACTCTGGCCGGAACATTTATTGGTCGCCAGGAGTTGGGCAGCTAGTATACCCTAACGTCGCCTACTTGGCCGTTGGCGTCGTTGCTTTCCTCCTGTTCCTCCTGTCCCGTAGTGCTCGAAGTGAAGACCATGGAGGGTCTGGGTACCACCGTGGATGTGGTGCTAGTCAACGGTGTGTTGCGGGAAGGCGACAAGATCGTGGTGTGCGGTCTAGGAGGTCCCATCGTCACCAGGATCAAGGCGCTCAAGACGCCGCAGGTGGGGTGGGTGGAGTGCAGGAAGTCGGCAGGAACTAGGCCACCGGTCCGACAGCGCATCTCTGGACCCGGGGGCCTTGGAAATGCGCTGATGAGCGGTGGGGGTGTTGCGCTGTAAGCGGGAGGCCCCCTGGTTGGGTGGCTTGGCTCTTGTCTCTGCAACCCCTTTTCCAGTGTCACGTCGTCTCAGTTTATTCCAATTTTCTGTTTTTTGGTGGCGGCCCTGTTGTGTTTGCTCCTCCCGAGTTCAGGTGCTGCGTGAGCTCCGTGTCAAGGGCGCGCTGATGGAACACAAGGAGATTCGAGCGGCCATGGGAGTCAAGATTGTGGCCCCTGGGCTGGAGTCGGCAGTGGCGGGAACCAGCCTGTTCGTCGTGAGCCCCGACGTGAGTGTGCTGCCGGGCCTGGCGCACCCTGACGCACCCGGGAAAGATATTTCTTGTGATGTCTTGTCTGGGTTATCATTTTGCCTCCCTCCGTGCTGTGCTTACGGTAAAGCGTTGCTGGTACGGCCCGGCTTGTGCGTGTAGGCGTGGGGAGTAATAATGTGCTGTGCATGCCGTGCTAGATAGCCGTAAACGCTTAATGTGATGTAGCAATCGCAAAGGCGGAACGGCAGACTGAAAAGGGGATCACAGGTTAGTTGATTGATGACCTTGCTAGTGGTGGCGATAGTGGTGATGATTGCGTTGTGCTCGCCGCCTCTCCTCTATCCGTCCGTTGTTGTGCGTGTGATGTTACGAAACTCAACTATTGCAGGACGACGAGGAGGAGCTCAAGGACGCGGTGATGGAGGATATGGCGGACATCTTCTCCAAGGTCGACAAGGGCGGAGAGGGCGTGTGCGTGCAGGTATGTATCATACCTGCAGTACGGGTTATTTAACGGGTGCTTGGCTCCCGCACAACGTCCAACTTCTTACAGTTAACACCTTGGCTTCCTAACCGCCACCAACAACCATAATTCAACGAACCCGTTGGATGTTCTCCCGCTTTTAGGCCTCCACGCTGGGCTCCCTGGAGGCGTTGTTGGCCTTCCTGTCCAGTCCCGAGGTCAACATCCCAGTTTCAGGCATCAACATTGGCCCCGTGCACAAGCGCGATGTCTTGCGCGCCAATGTCATGAACGAAAAGAAGTGCCCCAAGTACGCAGTCATCCTGGCCTTCGATGTGCCAGTGTCCAAGGAGGTGGGGTTGGGGGTTAGCGGGGAAAGAGGCTGGGAGTATGAGGGCCCTATGAGGACTGTAGGGCGTCGGGGCGTCTGGCTGTGTCAGAGGCACGGGCTTCAGTCCTGCTCTATGTTCAGTGTTGCAGTGTTTCATTTCGATACTTCCTCTGAACACATGTGGACATGCGCAACTCTTCTGGTCCCCAGCACCTCACCAAGCCCTCCCGGGCCAATCACGGCTTTGTTTTTTTAGGCACGCGACTTGGCGGAGGACTACAACGTCAAGGTCTTTACCGCCGACATCATCTACCACTTGTTTGACCAGTTCACGGCCTACGTAAAGCAGGTCAAGAGCGCCGAGCAGGAGGCCGCAAGGTTCAAGGTGTGCGAACGGGGGATGGGTGGGTGGGTTGGCAGGCTATGAAGCCGTAGGCCAAGTCGCGCCCGGCTATTTTCTCCTGCAACTGTCTTCCTCGCATTGATGCACTTGTATATGTATACAAATCGCCTGGTGACTTCCTGTCCCCTGTTCGTGGTTTGTTACGCGTGACGTTGATCCACAACTGCTTGTTCCGGCATTTTTAATCATCCGCACGATGCTTTACATCCCTCCGACACGTCCCCTTACCACGCGTAACTTAGGGTTCTCCCCTCGCATTACAGTCGACACTCCTTTCTGAACCCGCTCCTGGGTCGCTGATGTTCTAGCTTTGTCTGGGTCTTGTCTGGTCGGCCCTCCCTTCACTAACCCACACTCATAGCGTCGTCCCATGCGCCATCCCCATACGTCACCCGCAGGCCGTCTTTCCCGTGGTGCTTCGCATCTTGCCCACTTGCGTCTTCAACAAGAAGGACCCCATCGTGGTGGGCGTAGATATAGCCGAGGGTATTGCCAAGATAGGCACACCGGTGGCTGCGCAGACTGAGGCGGGGCTGGTCGAGCTGGGCCGGATTGCGGGCATGGAGATCAACCACAAGGTGTGTTTGCGTCTGTTTGTATGTGGGTGCGCGTGTAGAGTACTCCCCTGCTTATAAGGCAAGGGACTGTGGGAAAGAAGGGTTCGTTTGCATTTACACCTCTTGGTATCACGTGTGATGAACAAAAGCCCCGAACTTCTCGCTTATCACCGCAGCGGCCACGAGCTGAACGAACATCACGGGGGATTTGCTTGCGCGGGACGCTGTCTTGGGTTGTTATTTCGCTATGGCACTTAGGGTACTGCAATGGCGTAAGCGGCTCTGCGCATATACAAAGGACATCGGGGATTGCTGGGGCCATTTGACTCCTAGACTCCCCACTACTCACTGCTAAACTGTTCATTATCTCTTCGGAAGGTGCATGCGTGTGGCGTGTGGCTCTCATCTTTTTCGACTCTTGTGTCTTTCAACCGCTACTCTGTGGTCGTGAACCATCCGGTTATGTCTATGTCGTGTCTGGTCATGCCTGATCCGGCCTGACTTAAAATGTCTTCCCTTCCTCTGCCCTCTCTTCCCTCGGGCCCGTGCGTGACGGACGGACGGCATGCATGCAGGCGGTTGAGAAGGCCCGGGCGGGCGAGAGCGTCGCCATGAAGATCGAGGGTCAGACGACGGAGGAGAAGTCGCGCCTATTCGGGCGGCACTTTGACCACACTCACCAGCTGGTAAGAGAGCCCTGGTTCGTGCACTTGGCGGACATGCGCAGTGCTTTTGCCGGACCAGCAAGGAAACCTCTTATAACAGACAGCATCTGACAGAAATTGACGAGCCCTTGAAGCCTGGGAGCTGGGGGCGTTTCTCCCATGGGTTTGGGTTTCCCGGTGTTCGAGTCCGGCCCTGACGCTAGGGGCGCCAGTGGCAGCTTGTCTGTTGGTGTCCTGGTTTCACAAAAGGGTCGAAAGGCGAAAAAGGGACTGCCTAGGCGGCCTCGCAGTATTGCAGTCCGTCAGGGCGTTTGACACGCAGCAGCTGCAGGCCTCTCCTGTTTGGCGCCAGTCAAGGTCGGCAAAGAGGCTGCTGGTTTCACCCTGGCTGCGGCCTGCGGGTTGACAATCCCGCTCTGGGGTTGGGTTAGGCCTCTTGCTCTGTGGGTCTGTGGGTGAAGACGATCCGATCCCACTGCCGCCAATCAACGCCCTTTGGCAACCCGGAATCCTTCACTCCTTGCTCGCAGGTGTCGGTCATTAGCCGCGAGTCCATTGACGCGCTTAAAGAGTACTTCGCGGACGAGATGACGAAGGACGACTGGCGCCTGGTCATCAAGCTCAAGAAGGTCTTCCAGGTCACCTAAAGATTGGAGCAGCTCAGCTCGAACAGCGCACGCCTTGTCGAGCCACAGCGTTGCAGCTTGGCAGCACCTTGATGCCGCTCTGCCGAAGCCAAGACAGACCAGGCGGTGTGGCTGCTGCGCTGCCGCGATGTGTGTAGGGAGTCCCGCAGTTGGGTGCGGAACCTGTCCTTAGGATTGCCGGTTTGCAGCCCCGGCAACAGTGCCTCACATTCACAGCATTAATACGGGGCTGGGACAGGACGGCAGGCGGCGGGCAGGGGTTTACGTGTCAGCGTAGTTGGTGTGCCAAGCTGTCCGTGCACGGGTGTGCTGGGGGGAGGGAGAAGGGGCCTGTGTTGGGTATTGAGAGGTTGGCGACGGATGAATGGGTGGAATGTTCAGAGAAGACGTTAAAAGTGTGGAAGTCTAAGTTTGGATGAGTCTTTTTTAAAGGTGGGTTGGAAAATGTCCAAAAGAAGGAAAGGGCCGTGTGTGTGTGCAGGGGGAAAGGCGTGGGTGCAAATGGCAGTTGCAAAGGAAGAGGTGAGAATGGTGAAATGGTGAGCACCGATTTTTGTTGACCACTGACCGAGGGCGCTGGTAGGAGCAGGGTGATGACACAGGTACCAACAGTAGTGCAGCACATATTTAGGTCGTGAATGGATGGATGGATGATACCAACATAAGTTGGCCACAGCGGTAGGAGTAGTTGCACCACTTTAGAGCAGCTCGGTCTCCGGAGGCAGTTTTGTCGTTTTCTTCTTGTTGCGCGGCAAAACGGCTACAAGGGCATGGTAACATCAAAGCAGGGGGATGCAGGGGTAGAGGGTAGCTTAGGTAGAGGTTCCATTATGTGCGCGTGTGCCATCTTAATGTAAGGTGTCTGACGGAGCGCCGGAGCGTCCCTCCCCGATAATAAATACCTCCTTGGAGCGTTGCTAGGTGTTCGTGCAGGATGGGGGTAGCGGGGTCACAAAAATGCGCCGTGTCGGCCGGGGTGTTCCATGGGACGGAGTGGCTTAAGGATCAATGGGTTCTGTACTGCATTGGGTGCCATTTGTGTTAAGCTTGAGGAGATCGAATGTGGAGAAGAGCAGGATTGCGTCGTGATGCTACAGGAGGAGGGGAGCATGCATATGTGCCATTACGGCTCTGATGCCCTTGCGGGTGCACAACAGCGCCCACAGGATTCTTTTGGAGGTTTTGCTTTTTGTTAGGGCTGGCAACTTATCTGTCGAATGTTTTGTAATGGCATTTTAGCACAGGTTGACTGGGAAGCATGGGCGGTCGGGTGAGGTTGTTCTCACCTTTTGCCGCCGATGTTCAGGCAAGTCAGAGTCAGCGTTTTATCTTTCTCTTGTGCCATCTGGCTGCTCAAAGAGGGCTTTCCAATTGTCATTGAGACCCCTTGGTCACCGCCTGACACGCACACCATTTACGAATCCCTTGGGGTGTCTGAAAAGGCTATTCCTCTGAACTTATCAGTTCCATCGTCAGCCAGCGAACTTCATATTAATTGTGAGCCCCACCCACCGGATGCTCGTTTGTGAGTGGTAGAGCGCGAGAGCAGGAATGGGAATGGAAGGTGGTTGCAGAGTGGGAGGGGGGCCGGTGAGAGGGCTGAATCCGGGGGGCGGTAGCTGTCCCTGAAGCACGGAGGTTCGTCCTGGCCCTTTGGGTGCGCCGAAGGAAAGGCGGCGGAGAGTGTGAAGAGCTTTGCTTCTAGAGGTCAGAAGGGATTTCACGAAAGGAATATTCAAATTTGCCACCGCGGGAAAACGGTTTGCCTCTTATGCAGAGCGCAGTTCCAGACGTGGACCTGGACACCCTTCTGAAGGCAGCCAGTAGCGCGCGACAGCCGTTGCAAATGTACGGCCAGAGGACGTGCCTTAACGAAAAGCCGTTTTGGCCGTGCTATCAGACGTACAGCCCAAATAGTACACAGATCTGAAGACTACATAAAGTACACTGTTAGTGCGCACCATGCACCCCAGGTTTACCATTCACAGTCGCAATCCAACCCAACATATATCTGGTGGTTACCCATTCGGACGCAGTGGACTTGGCGGGAAGTACACGGAAGCATGCATGGTGCAAAAGTGAACCGATGGTATGCTCAATGCTTCTTGCAGGGGAAACTGTCGTTTTAACTTAGGTGCAGCCCAACCAATGGACACCAGACCGTGGCCACTGACACCCAACATTCTTGGCTCCCGTGGGAAACACGCAGTCTCGTCATTCCCCGCGGCTTGCATTCAGCGGCGTGCACGTGCACGAGCACAACAGACGCGGTGTACACACACACCGCGCCCGCCTGGTGTCTAGCATTTACCTAAGGTCACGATACTGTCATTGTAAGCCCTTAATTTCTCTACTACACTTTGTGTTGATTAGCGCAATGGCTGACCAAGTTCTGCCAGGAAACATTCCGAACAATAATAACCAGAATAACCCGAATAATGTAGTTATTCAGCCTCCTGCTGCAGCTCAAGGCGTGCCCGCGCAAGTCGTAGAGCAGCTGGTTCAGGACCAGAACTTCAATGCGGTTTTCACGAACATTAGCGCGGGCAGGGAGGAGGCTCTGTCGAGGAGGTATACAGACCTGGAACAGAATCACGAGGCTTCGTGCCCGAAGGCGTTTAAGTTCATGGCGGCGTGGATTCGCGACATCGGGTCCAAAGTCTACTCGGCACACTCCGCTCTGAAGGTCATTCAGGCTACGGTTGCGGACGTAGGGCCCATCGTGGACATTCTGCAGCAAAGCGTTTTCATAATGGACCTGCTTTACGCGTCCTGCGATGCTGGTGGTCGGTGCCATCAGTTTCACCTGGAGGTAATGCAGCAATACTTTAACAATAATCGGCATCAAGCTGTCAGTCCGACGGCGGAGGTCAAGGCGGACACGAATCGCCTATACGACTGCGGCTGCGGTATATAGGTATATAGGTATATACATACACCCGACATGCCATCCTTACCTGCATCAGCCCCTGCAATGCTGACAGAGGCACCGTGTACGACAACAGCAGAGCCATGAATGCCGTACGCGCGACTGCAGTACGCCAACTGATCTGCCACAGCCGCAATCTCAGGTTGCCCCACAGCAGCTCTCCTGGGTGGGGGGCGGGTGTTGGCCACCATAAGGCCTCGTCTCGGTCGTGAAGTGCAGTAAACACCACAGCGGCATCCCAGCGCCGGCTACGAGTGCACAAAAAGAAACATGTACGACAGCCAGCCACAAGTACGGCAAATAGTATCCAATGTACGACAACGTCGTACACGCACGACATGGGTTGATGGCAGTTAGCGGTTTGCAACGTCACCACTGTTATATTATATCTGCTGCTGTGCCCCAATTTCCTTTCCCCTGCCGTACACGGAAACTAGGGGAATCATCTGCCGGATGGAACTTAGGGGAAATTGTAGGAGGGAGAAATTATTCTTAAATTATTCTGTATAGGGAGTCACGTTTTTTTGCCGTTCGCGAAAACGCGAAAATACACACATGCAGGAGGCATGTACAACTGAAAAAGCCGAAGTACCCGAAGGTCAGGAAGGCCGTTGGAACATACGGCAGCTCGTCCACCTTTGCCAGCCCAGCCCGTAACTGCTCGTACAGAACCTCTAGACGTGTGCGCAGGTGCAGCAGCTCGTCCACACGTACGGGTCGTACACCGTACAGGTAAACTCCCCATTGGCCGAGCAGAGGTCCTAGTACCAGCACCTGTCCCCCCTCGCGTGTGTGTGGGGGGGGTGAGGAAGGAGTTGGAAATGGGAAGAGAGTTTCTTAGGAAGTTCCCCAAACCCCAGGTTACCCTAATGATAAATCCCGGAGTTACAACATGAGATGTCAAATAACAGCAGGATGTACTTAGATTAGGAAATTTATACAATGTGTTGTTTGCAAATTTAAGCAGGGATTTTAGCTCAGTGGTAGAGCGCGCGCTTTGCATGCGTGAGGTCACCGGTTCGAACCCGGTAAGCTCCAGAGCTTATTTTGATCGCAGGCTAAACTCTAGTGATGGAACATTACCAATGTCCTGAGTTATCCCGTACTGAGACCTGACTAGTATTCATGATCGTTCTGTTGGTAGATTTCCAAGAGGGATAAAGTTGACTTGCGGCAGATTCCGTTTGATGCCTGTGGTGGGTGTAATCTGCCGTACGCACGTGTTTTGTTCGATGCTACAGTCGTATGACGCGACAGCAGAACTTGAGCGATCCACTGAAACGTTGGCTAGGGTGACTAGATGAGGGTGCCCCGAAATAGGAGCTGACCATATTGGGTACGTTAAACGAGGGTAAGGCAGGGTTTCGCCGGGTAGCGGCCACGGGTGCCCCCCTGTCCCACACATCATACAGGATGACCTCCAACTAACCAACCCACCCGTCCAAATACCCGCCCAACCGACTTAACCAACCTGACGCCTGCGCACACGCCGTACCGCTGCGAGGCGTGCTGCGTAAAAATCAATCAAATCCTCCAGAGACCGTTTTGTCGTACTGTGCTGCTGTACGAAGCCCGCCAGGCTGCGCTCGTCCCGTACGACATGGAACACCACCAGCCGACAAGGCGGGAAGACCTCCGCCATCTCCTTCACAATGAAGGCCTGTGATCACCATCATTCGCATGTACTCCTAATCATTTATCATTTTCCGTCATTTGGAAATCTAATTCCGAATCGCAATGGTCAACGAAGTCAGCTGTAACAAGATACATTTCATCCTAGCGTTGATGCACCACCCTTCAAACAAAAATGGTGACTACAATTGACAGAATTCTGAAAATGGCAGAATCCAGAGATTTTTTCCACATTCCCCTCCAACCCCCCTTCACCCTCATCCCCCTCAACCCCCCACCCCCCTCGCCGGCACATCCAGGGTTTTTGCAACATCCTCTCAGTGCGGCACCACTCGCTGATGGGCACGCCCCGTCCGGGAACCCCCGGGGCCGCTGATTTGATCATACTGACTCATCATCGCCGTCGTTTATCAGGGTGCGAGTGTTACCATTCTTATCAAGATCACGAGCCCTGAACCACCGGGCAAAATTATATACTGCTTGCTGCTATTGTATATAGTTCAAGGCCTGATGCTATCAGATCCAGCCACATCAGGGACCAGATGCTCCAGCGATTTCTTCAACGCTTTTGTGAATTGCGCAACTGCTGGCCGCTATGTTTAAATACAGCCCTTGTTGACCTTCCGAACTGATCCTGTGCTGCTGCTGCTGACTGTATATCGTGTGCTGCCGTTACTGCTGCAGGCTGTATGGGTAAGAGGTTGTTAGGCAGACCCGTGGGTCGCTATCCCGCGAACCTTGTCGTCGCCCGCCCACCCAGTCTTACGACGCGTACGGGTGGCAGATTGTTGCCTTCACCACACCATCAGGCCTTTGCAAGCCCCGGGCGCTGTATATGGGCCTTTTTATGTTGTGATATGCACCATGGTGGACGTAATGGGAAGATAAAATGCGGAAAGGAAAAACAGCCCTCCGCTGGTCAGTCCCTCAAATCCAACAGTCCAAACAGCCCCAAACAAAACCCTACTCCCAAACATCAGTATCACCCCTCTCCGCTCCACAACATGTTCAATATTAGAAAGGTAGACGACACGATTGCTTTCCAATCTGCCCATCTAAGCCAACACCCAACATCAAACCCCCCAACCGACCAACCAACTACCAACCACCGTAACCGTCGGGCCCTCGGAGTTGTTACCAAACGGTTTCGGAGCGCCAAAGTCAACAGAGCGAACGGCCGCAGAAATCCCAAAGGCGCAACGGCCAGGCTGTCGGTTGGTCGTTGGGACCGTTGGAGGTTAGGAGTAGTTAATAGGGGGAGCGTGAGTGGCGAGGTGGGAGGGAGATCTGTATGTGTGTGTGTGTACGAGCACGCCTGTTCAGGTGGACCAGGGGAAGGGAGGCGGAAAAAACTAAAACAAAACAAAATGGGGAGAAAAATATCGGTAGACGTACACAGATGAGCGGACAGACGTACACACAGACATTATACGTACGTACATACATGCATGCTTGCTTGCATCTCGCATGCAAAGTCACGACACAGACAGGCAGGCAGGCACGTGCAGCCACATATATACACGCAGCCACACAGAAAAAGTAGTGCTGCCCTAACTGCCCTAACAACTCTGACTGCTCTAACAACCCTAACTGCCTTGACAACCCTAACTGCTCTAACAACCCTAACTGCCCTAACGATCCTAACTGGCCTAACAACACACTACCTGCCCTAACCGCCTTGACAACCGTTCGCACCCGGGTCAGACAACACGATGAAAGTTATGTGCAAAACTTAATCCTGCTTTCCTTTTTCAGCCCATTTTATGACCTGCACGTCGTTCATACATACGCACGTAGATACAAACATACATACTCAGCCGCACGCACATTAAACAGGATGTAGGCGATGAAAAAAGACGCCGTCTGCGGCACTCCGGTGCCGATCACCGTCAGCACCTGGCCCGGTTGGGCAACGAACTCCGTTATCTGGTTTACCCGCCAGAAGAGAGGCCAGGAATACGGCAACCGCCTGGGGTTGTGAGGGGAAGGAGTGGGGTTGGGGTTGAGAGAAGAGTGATGGTTGGTGGGAAGATGTGGGGATGCAGGGAATGTGGTGATGGGACTTGTATGTGTGTGGGGAGTAAGACGAACCATTGGCGGATGGAGCAGATACCCAAGATAGACGGGTAGTCCAGGGGGGCCGACGGGGGGATGTGGGTTTCAATGTAGAAGCGAATGGACTGAAGGGAACGTCAAACAGACTGTGGAATGTTAGTGCTTAATGTTTTCGAACAAATGCACAGAAAGTAAAATTACTCACAGCCCCGGAGCAATGACCCCTTCTAGCGATGTAAAAAGATATTTCGGTTCTTTCATATACGGCAAAGCATTACAGCTCAAATGTCGTACGGCAGGCCCTTACCTGGAAGTCAAACGCCAAGGTGGTCGTACGGAAGTCTACCTCGCTGAGGCTGAAGGCACCCGCCCAACGGACTAGTCGTGACAGCAATGCCGGCAGTATTGTATTGTATTGTGGTTACAGTATTTCCGCCGCCGACGCGGCGGGTGCCCTCACGAGCCGTGAGGCTCCAGAGCACGCTGTTGACGCTCATCAAAAACCTCAGTAAGGAAAGTAGCGATTTTCCTCGGATTGGTATTAAGAAATACCTTGCGCATATCAGTATCTTCAACGTTAATCAGAAACCTATTACGCAACTCAGTATACGCCTCACACTCCATGAGCACATGGTATTCATCCTCAACCTTACCCGACGTACAGACCTGACACGTACGGCACTCTCTCGGCCTATGGTGTCCTTTGTTGACCTCCAAAGGCCAACAACAAAGACGGAATTTGGCAACCATACGCAACTGGTTGGCCGGCAAATAAACACGCAAATAGCCTGTGGGATCGGAGCCCTCTCTTGCTGGTGAAGGGGAGCCCATCCAGTTATGATACCTGCAAAGCGAAACCCCTTTACCTTGGAACACACGCGGATCACCCCCTTGGCTGAACTGATCCCAGTCACTTAAAAGGAACGCAGATAACCTCTCCAGAACCTCACCCACTCGAATCAACTGAGACGAGTATACATCTACCTTCTGAGAAACGGAGTCACACGCCGGCCACTCATGGCCCAACCAACGCAAAATGAT